TTTTTTTGTGGGTTTTTTTTTTTATTATTTTTAACAGGCTCCATTGAAGTGCCTCGCCATAAAATTAAGCTTTGATCACATCCATTTGCTGTTAACGAATGCAGATGGGGCAGAGGCAGGGGGATTGTGGCTCTGGGCTGATGTGTGGGCTTGCAGAAGCTCCAAGGCTGGCCCAGCTAAGGAATCCAGCTGTCCCAAAAGCCTCCTCAGACAGGGTGTCCCCAGGGACACCTGCAGAGGTGGCAGCAGGGCTTTGGGAAAGGTGAAGATGGCTCAGGGAAATGGCCATTACGTATCTGGCAGTGTCTTCTTTCATATGGTAATTCCCTTTCTTCTCCCTCTTTTTTATTATTATTTTTTTAAATCATTCAAGTACCTTTATGTGCCCTTCACATCCATAGGGTTTATTCTAAAATCCAGCTTTGGTGGAATTTCAATGTTGTTGAGGAAAATAAGTGGGGAAAACTCCATAAAAACCACAATGCTTTCTGTTTTAACATCCCCTCGTGGGGTTTTTAGGTTTTTTTCCAAATGTTCAGTTACAAAAGGAAATTGAAATGAGCTGGATCAAGGCCAGGTTTGATTCCTCCTCCTGTGGTTTTGTGTCCAGCCCAGGAGGATCCCTGGCAGGACAGATCCTGCTCCTGGGAAGCTGCAGGACATCAGCTGATACCATGGATCTGCTGGAAACCCCACCCTGGAAAAGGAAAATTCTGATTATCCACACAGAATGGAATTGTATTTGTCTTCTGTGTTGCTACACGAGCTAGGGAGGATTTTCTTCTTTTTATTCCGGAGGGATCAAAGGTGACTTTAATCCCTCAGAACATTTCTCAGCCCATCATGGGTGTGGCTTTAATCTCAAACCATGTCAGGCTCTGCTCAGGTGAGACCCCCACCTGCAGGAAGGACCCAGCCCTGGGGACACGGCAGAAGGACCTGGAGCAAATCCAGAGAAACCCATGGAGCTCCTGCAGGGCTGGAGCCAGCCTGGGGGAGCTGGGAATGTTCCCCTGGAGAAGGGAAGGGTCCAGGGAGAGCTTCCAGCACATTCCAGGGCCTGAAGGGGCTCCAGGAGAGCTGAAATTTGGGAAAAGCCTGGAGGGACAGGACCCAGGGAATGGCTCCCACTGCCAGAGGGCAGCCAGGGATGGGATCTTGGGAATGAGGAATTCCTGGCTGGGCTGGGATTGCCAGAGCAGCTGGGGCTGCCCCTGGATCCCTGCAATGTCCCAGGAAGGACTGGAGCACCCTGAGATCATGGCAGGTGGCCCTGGAATGAGCTTTGAGGTCCCTTCCCACACAAACTGGTCCAGGATTCTGGGATTTGGGAAACTCAGGATCCATCCTGAGGGATTTTTATGGAAAATGGGGATAGAAAAGAGAGGGAAAGGGAAGGGAGACCCTTCATGGCTTCCTGAGATTCCAAGTGAAGCCCCTGGGTCCATGAATTTCTTGGAGAGGAGATGGATCCAATGTCAGGCTGGGAGAGCTGGGAATGTTC